ATTAACCCCACCCCAAAAGTACAACTGTATTATCAATATTATCTTCTTGCTATGCACACGTAACTCAACTCTGAATACGACCCATACAGAACACTGATCAATATTAACACAATGACTAAATTTAACACCATGTTTATATTCATAGATTTCTTTAAAGCCATACAGTGACAGTTGATTCAAGAAATGTGGTCTATTTAGAATAATGCTCACCTGATAAATAAAGACTTCATCAATTTGGGGAGACTCTGATTAGAGAGAAAGTAAGAACTTTGAAAACATTGAAAGTAGATGAGACAAGAAGTTACACATCCATTTTCTATAGTAGGATGCTGATGTTGTGCAGTAGCTCTAAAGAACTCCAGATGTTGTATAGAATCTCTAAATATTACCATCAAAAAGCACTTTTAATAAAAATCACAAATTCAGTGAAGTTTTTCAGATAATCAGTGTGAGCTTCACTTTGTAATTTGTCAGTATCAGTGTGTAGATCAGATGTGTGTGAGTGTGTGTGTGTGTGTGTGTGTATGTGTGTGTGTGTGACTGTGTGTGAATGAGGTAACAGTGTTATTAATGTTGTTCAGTCATCTCAGGCTGCTGTGAGCTCTACACTATAGTGATACATACAGAGCTGAAGTGTGTGTTAGTAACTCTCTCTGCTGATGATGTTCAGCTGAACACTCTGAACACACAGTACAGATAAATACATTCAGTCTTTACAACACAAACATTCTTCATCAACAATCAGCACATCACAATAAAAGCATTACACACTGAATTATACTCACCTCTCAGTGCTCCTGTCTCTGAATGCCACTGTGAAGGGAATAATATAGTGTGAAGTTTTTATGCATGGAATCATAATGAATTATTAAATTTAAATAAGTTGAAAGCTGGAAATGTAACAAATCACTGAATGTAGATGATGCTGTTCTGTTGTTTGGGGGGCTTTGTTTTCTTTATGAGGATCTGGACAGACTGACAGCGCTACATTTTAGAATTTGATACTTTTGTTTCAGTATTACATTTGCTACTGTTATTGTTTGTCTATGTCCTCTCTCTCTTTCTGTATCTCTCTCTGTCTTTCTACTTATTTTCCTACAGTATTGTATTATAAATCATTAGTTATGTTTATGAATCTGTCTGTTTTGATTATTAAAATAACTCTAAGTAGATTAATATTCTGGTTCAGCTGCTTCCAATATTCCATTTTCCACCTTCTCTGCTAGCAGCCCAACTGCTTCTCTCTAGAGCTTTCAGAGCTTCTCACTCACATTACAGCCTTCTGTTCATTATTACACCTGAGATTCTGTCATTTCCTAATGAGATGAACTCAGACTGGCTTATATTTGAGTTTCATATATTGTAAATAAATTATTTTAGTAATTTTTTACAGTTATTGTTTTTGTAAAACAAAAGCCATTTTATTGTTGAGAGACATTCTAATGATGATGATGTACTGATGATGAACGACTCAAATATTCCATCATCACATAAGAACAGTGACATCACTCCCAACAGAGCCAGACTGCTTTTATTTGTTGTGTCTTTTTCTCATCAGTGAACTTCACTGTCTCTACATTTCTGCAGTGCAGTGGGATTATGCACAGGAGCATTGTGGGAAGGAAGGAGGGAGATGAAGTCAAAAGCTTTCATTCTGAGATCAGAGACTTTGTTCATCATGTGAAATTTACCTGAAACTCAATATTATATGTCTGTATTGAATTTGCTTTAATCTAGCATTCACATATATATTCACATATATAGACTGACATTTTGTTCATTCTTTATTCATATCTTGTATAATCTAGAAGCCTTCTATATCAGTATTCTATCCCCTGTGTACCCTGCATCTCATTTTTTTAGCTACCTCAGACTCAGGAACTGCACATATGGAAATGTGTACAATTGTACGTATCATAGTTTTCATATCTTATATATACACTGGAAATAGAAAAGTGCAATTCTATTGTGTAATAATGTAAATATTGTGTTTATGTTTATATATATATATATATATATGTGTATACATTGAACTTTTCCACATTTTTTCATGTTACACTCACCAACTTAAATGTATTTTATGTGATAGACCAACACAAAGTAGCAAGTAATTGTGAAAAGAAAATTAGAAAATTAGATGTACTTTGTATACTTTGTAGGACCACCTTTCACTGCAATTACAGCTGAAAGTCTTTTGGGGTATGTCTCCACCAGCTTTGCACATCTAGAGGCTGAAATTTTTGCCCATTCTTCTTTGCAAAATAGCTCAAGCTCAGTCAGATTGGATGGAGAGCGTCTGTGAACAGCAATTTTCAAGTCTTGCCACAGATTCTCAATGGAATTTAGGCCTGGACTTTGTCTGGACCATTCTAACACATGAATATGTTTTGATCTAAACCATTCCATTGTAGCTCTGGCTGCATGTTTAGGGTGGTTGTCCTGATGGAAGGTGAACCTCCATCCTAGTATCAAGTCTTTTGCAGGTTTTCCTCCAGGATTGCCCTGTATTTAGCTCCATCCATCTTCCCATCAATTGTGACCAGCTTCCCTGTCCCTGCTGAAGAGAAGCATCCCCACAGCATGATGCTGCCACCACCATGTTTCATGGTGAGGATGGTGTGTTCAGGGTGATGTGCGGTGCTAGTTTTCCGCCACACATAGCATTTTGCATTTAGGCCAAAAGTTCAACTTTGGTTTCATCTGATCAGAGCACCTTCTTCCACATGTTTGCTGTGTCCCCTACATGGCTTGTGGCAAACTGCAAACAGGACTTCTTATGGTTTGCTTTCAAAAATGGCTTTCTTCTTGCCACGCTTCCATAAAGGCTAGATTTGGGAGCACACGACTAATAGTTGTCCTGTGGACAGATTCTCCCACCTGAGCAGTGGATCTCTGCAGCTCCTCCAGAGTGACCATGGGCCTCTTGGCTGCTTCTCTAATTAGTGCTCTCCTTGCCTGGGCTGTCAGTTTAGGTGGACAGCCATGTCTTGGTAGGTTTGCAGTTGTACCATACTCCTTCCATTTTCGGATGATGGATTGAACAGTGTTCTGTGAGATATTCATAGCATTTTTTTTAGAACCAAACCCTGCTTTACACTTCTCCACAACTTTATCCCTGACCTGTCTGTTGTGTTCCTTGGTTTTCATGATGCTGTTTCATCACTAATGTTCTCTAACAAACCTCTGAGGCCTTCACAGAACAGCTGTAGTTATAAAATATGGAAAAGTTCAAGGGGTATGAATACTTTTTCAAGGCACTGTAAGAAGAGAAGAGGGCTTCATAACTGAGATTTTCACTCACCTTCACAACTGTGTAATGTGAGGTGACAATAAACGTGATTTGATTTGCTTTGCTTTGTAGTTGATGTGATAAGAGTATAACCAGCAGAGAAAGAAGTAAACATAGTTATTTACTCACCCACCGTACTGTGGAATAAAAACAGAATGAAACACAAAGTTAGTCAAATCTCCATGAGAAACACTTTTACAGTTATAATATTTCAGTCTTCAATCTCCATATCAGAATCTCCTTTTCTCATCTGTACTGTAGTTCTTCATCCTTGACTACTGAACTGTCACTCAATGCTTTCAGTACAACTCTATGAAGATGTAAATAGGTCATTTATATTTTAATTTGGTCTTGATTAGTTTGTTTGTATGTAACAAAGACACGGATTTCAGTTTGAAATATTGTGGTCACATCGAACAGTCAGACTGGTTGCTGGACCTTCATCTCCTGGCGGGAGTGGACATCCCGTGTGACGTCATATATTAAATATCATATTTTAATAATTAATTCGTAATGTGTGTGTTAAAGGGCAGCACATTGGGGCTGTGGATAGCGAATCACATCAAGAAGGGCCAGGGTCCTTTCTGTGTTTGTATGTTCTCCCCATTTGTGTGTGGGTTTCTTCCGGGTGCTCCAGTTTCCTACCAAGGTCCAGTGACATGCAGTCAGGCCTGGACATGCTACACTGCCCCTAAGTGTGACCATATGTGTGTTTACTCCACATTAACATCATTTATCCTCTGTATGTTTTACCTCCTTTGTCTGAACACAACACCATTCTGAACATCTGTGTTTCTCATTTCTGTCTCTTCATCTCTATATTCTGAGACGCTGATGATGATGATGAGTTTGTGTAGAGTGAACTTCTGGATTACTTACCGTCCCTCATTTCTACTGTACACTCCTCTGTTGTGTCTCCACTGATGACCTGACACAGATAATCTCCGTCCTCCGTCTACAGTCTCTGATCTGTAAGGAGATGTTTCCTCTCTGCAGCTCCTGAGTGAACAGACTCACTCTGCCCTTGTAGCCCCTCCCCTCTGTCACCTGCCTGTTCTTATAGAGACAAACACCTCCTTAAACCACCTGATCTCCATGGTAACAGCACTGATTTCAGGAGACAGGTGACAGGAGAGAGTAACCACAGAGGGAGACTGATACTCTCCATTTTTATGGGGTCCAATGAGTTTAAACTCATCTGTGTGGAAACACACACACACACACACACACGCACACACACACACACACGCACACACACACACACACGCACACACACACGCACACACACACACACACGCACACACACACACACACGCACACACACACACACATACACACACACACACTTTTCTCTATAATAGCAGATCCATAATAATAAGACCGAGTTTAAACTCTCCACTAATCTCACACACGACTCTCCACTTTAGCGTCCAGAGCGGAAGAAGCAGCAACTACTTTCACTTAAATCTTCATTCAGTCACTGCGTTTAAGCGCCAGTCTTTGTGTATTTGTGTTTTTTTACCCTAATTCATTAGCAGAATGTGGTATATCTGTGCCTCATTGTCAGTATGTATTATTGGTTATTTTCACTGTTTTTATTTGTGGTATCATTCATAGTTTCATTAATTGTACTTCATGGTACATGTCCAGTCCAGTTAGCCAAATATACATTTTTCCTAGTACAAATTCTGTAAAGAAATTATTGTTTTAATTTAAAACGTATTAGCTTATTTTATTAAATACCTGAAAACTATGGTATGCACAACAATAAACAGGTACTGCTTGTTTATGAATACCAAGTGTATAAACCATTATTTTTAAAACTATAACACTACACATTGGGGAAGAGCACCAATTAGTTTGAAAGTGCAAAGCTTACAAAAGGTTGCAGTGAGAAACACAATCACCAGCCTGATCAGTGTTCAGCACATTAATACAATGAAACCAGCACTGGATCCACTCTTTGCTTTAGTGTTTCAGTTCATGGTAGCTGATGAGTCATTAAGGTGATTCTGCAGTCACGAAGGTGCAAAATGAATGACCTGCTGAATGACCTGCTGAATGGAGTCAGAAGTAGTGAGGTCCAGGACTGATTCTGCAGGACATTTTGTTTACAAATCACTAATTCAAAAGTAAGTCACAGTAATGTACGGTATCTGTCACACAGACTATACAAGATACTGAAGTTCTCATCTTTCACAAAACCACTAACACCTTCGCATCAGTATCACTGATATGAGTTAATGGTAGAGTGTATCTCTAAAAAAGATATAAGAGCATAAATAAAAAAAAGACTGTCTGTACAGAAAGCATCACATCAGTAATATTACAATAACAAACAGTGCTTAAACCCACCAAGCTCTTTCTATCCAGTCTGTATGTTCAGCAATACAGGAGCTTTTTCAGCATATTGATCTTACTGATTTCCAATGTACTTATGGACCTCCACCTGTAACAGGCTACTAAGTGCTCCCACTCTCTGCACCAGTGTCTTCAACTCTCTGTCCTTCTCCTCCATCTGCCTCCTGAACTCTTCCTGCATCTTTGACTTTGATATTAAAATATTTCTCTGGAGTTCAGGCAGGATGATCTTCATGAGGTTCCTCTCTGCCTCCATTCTGGCTTCTCCTTCATACGTCTCCCTGATCTCCTCCATCTCCTGTCTGTGTCTCTCCTCCATCTCTCTCCTCTCTTTTTCAGTCTCTTCTCTCACTCTTTCTAGCTCAAGCTGAACCTCCTTCCTCTGCTGAATCTCTCTTTCTAGCTGTCTCTTCAGCTGTATCTTTTTCTGATCATCTCTTTCCTCTTTTAACTCTTTCTCAAGTTTAGTTATTCGCTCTTCATGCTGATTTATTTGTACCTGATATTTAGCTGTTAATTCCTCAAACTTCATTAAAGTCTCCTGTACACATCTCTCCAGTTTCTCTCTAGTTTCTCTTTCTTGTTTCTCTCTTATCTCCTCTTTTTCTCTCACAATTCTTTTCTCCATCTCTCTGATCTGAGATTCTGTCTCCAGGTAGATCTCACTGCTGTAGAATTTCTCTCTGTTTCCTTCCACCATCTTATCTATCTTCTCCAGCAGCTCTGAGGTTTGAGAACCATCTCCACTCTCCTTAATGCTGAGACAGTGAAACCTGTTCCCACATTTCTCTACAAGTCTCTGGACCTCCTGGTTTCCTGACTGGATAAACTCTTCAATGTTCTTCTCTTGGACTTCATCAGTAACAGTGAAAAGGATCATGGTGTTCCTCCAACATCTCTCTCCAAAGATCTCCTCCATTTTCTCCAGCATGCTTCTCTCCTCTCCTGTAGACTGCTTCACTGGTATGACTAGGAGGAAGGCGTGGGGTCCTGGGGTAGACAGATGGACACAGAGTCCCACGTCCTGTCTCAGCTCCTCCAGAGAGAGTCCAGGACAGAACCAGTCAGGAGTGTCCACCACAGTCACCTGCCTCCCAGCCACCTCCCCCTGTCTGCTCTCACTCTGCTGCCTCACTATAGACGCTCCAGCCTGGCTCCTCTCCTCTCTGCCCAGGATGGTGTTTCCTGCTGCTCTCTTCCCACATCCAGTCCTCCCCAGCAGCACCAGCCTGAGCTCTGCTACAGGAACTGACTCTGGAGAGGCTGAACTAGAGGATTCTCCACTCACTGCAAATCAACAAGAATGAGGCATTTCATTTCTCACTGTGTGATGGTGATTATTATATTTAAACAAATATTTAAGATATTATATGAAAGTGAAATCATTTACTATGTGGAGGACTTCCCTGCAGACTGTTTCTTCTCCTGAGTGGTGCTGCAGATTCTGGAGTCTCTCCACTCACTATGAAACAGAACAACCAGCAAAAGGAGATTATGTTGTTGACTATTTTTTCACCTCGGGTGCCTCCATCTTGTCATGAACTTCTAATTTAGTGGCATCAACTACTAATCACTGAAAAGAAGTTTAATTTTTAATTGTAATTAAAATTCCAGTTTTTTATTCTATATTTTTTTAAATTAAGTCACACATTCTCATTGTATTGGTTGTATTAGCTAAATTATTTATTTGGAATGATTAAATGGCTATTTTTAGAACACATTAGCTTGTATCTGGCACAGCAAAGGGAACCACAGTAAGTCATAACTGAATATAAGTGTTATTATAGTGAGTAGCCTCTCTTTCTCCTCAGCGTGGCTCTCCTCTGGATCAGCACAGCAGCTCAGCTACTTTTCCTTTAGGAGAAGAGTTACTGCAGTAACTTTTACTCAGATTTGTTTCATACCTTGCAGTTCTATAAATTTACTTATAAATTCACAGTTTTTCTGCTGTTGGCTCGTGGACATTTAAACGACAGTGACGCCATCGTCATGGCTGCTATCATTTGAATCATTTGTATTGTAGTGTTTTTAGATTTCTTGTATTACATTCTGAGCTTGTTGACTAATTATTATTAGTGCTGGTGAAACAGCTGAGCTCAGAGAACTGTGTGGTGGAAACACTGAGTACACAGCATCTCAAACTGTAATACTTATGTTCTCTGTTCTCAGGTTCTTGTGAGTTTCCCCATTTTTGCAAGGTAACTTGTGAAGAACGTTCTTCTCCAGAATGTAATTCAGTTCTTCTCGATCTTTATATAGAGAAACACTCACTTATTTCTAATGGCTGTCAGATGAAATCAGAAGTTAATGGACAAAAATGTATCTATATATTTATTTATTTACTTATGTATTATAGTTTAACATTTTGCTGTTTAATGTTTTGCTGTTCTCAAACTCTTACACAACTACATATTGGAACATGATGGACAGGTTTGTTTTTTTTTTATTTATATTACAGCTTATGTTTTTGTGGAATATATAGCTGCATTCTATGTTGTTAGACATCTATAGTATGTGATTATATCATAGCATTTTCACAGCACAGTGCACATTTAGATTTTAAAATATTTCAAGCATCTTCATGCAACCTTAGTATTTACTTACTGATTGGAGGTTTGTCTTTGCTATGTCTCCTCCTGGCTGGAGCTGCTGAGTCTGGATCTGTTCTCTCCTGCAGCTGCTTGTTTCTCTCCTCTAGAAGTCTGTCTTTCTCCTCAACCTGCTTGTCTCTTTCCATTAGCTGTGTGTTTCTCTCACTTAAAAGTCTCTCCTTCTCTTCAAGCTGTTTGTCTTTTTCACTCACTTCAGTTTTCTGTTGTTCCAGTAGGATCATCATCTCCTGTAGTTTGCTGCTCTTGTCCTGCAGTTCCTTTCTCAGAGTCTCCAGCTGCTTTTTACTGCTTTCCACCTCTTTCACTGTGATCTCCAGTAGAGTCTCTTTCTCTCTCAGCAGTTTGATCTGATTCTCCAGTTGTGAGTCTTTATCTTTAAGCTGTTTATTAACACTTTCTAATCTTTCATTAGTTTCCTTTAATAATGAATCTCTCTTATCAATAATCTCTAAATGTTCTTTTATAATCGTGTTATCTTTCAGTTCTTGTTTTCTCTCTTTTAAATCTTCTTCTTTCTCCTCAAGTCTTTTCTCCATTTCTTCCATTTGTATTCTATGATTCTCTAATGTCTTTGTTGTTTGTCTCAGTTCATCTTGTGTCTCTGTGAGAAGTTTGTCTTTCTCTTCTAAAATCTTCTCCTTCATCTGAAGTGTTATTGTCTTTTCTGTCAGAAGTCTGTCTTTCTCCTCCACTTGTTTTTCTCTCTCCATTAGCTGTGTGTCTCTCTCTGTTATAATGGTTGTTTTCTCTTCAAGTTGTTTAGCCTTCACAGTTAAATCTGTAAGAAATCATCATTTTGAGTTCACAGTTGGCTTGGATGGTATTTCACAAAGAAGGTTTTCTCAGTAAGCTAGAAAACTTAAGCCAAAGGTTGTGGCTTGTCCAATAGGATTGTTGCTCAGCTCTTCTCCGATTGGACTGGCGTGTTTTTGGTTTTCAGGCTAATTGAAAAATCCTGCTTTGTGAAATGCTCCCCTGCCCCACCCACCGTCACCCCCATGGGATCACATATTTTCAGCACAGTGATATCAAAGACTTCTGTTTATTAGTCAGTACTAAAACATCAACAATGTCTAGACTGTATCTTCCCATTAGGAAAGTCTGATAAAGATCAGTGAGAAGAAGTAGAGTCAGAAAACCTCACTTGCTAATTAATGGGAGAGATGAATTAATGGTGATGAATGTATTAATGTGATTATTTGATCATAATATTTTCTAAAGATCATAAAGACTGAGGTTACTGTGGTTAAACCTGAAACTCACCAGTCGTCTGTGATGAAATGAGAGTTGTCAGTGTTTCAGTTTCAGTCTGTAGGTCTGAATTCTGTTGTGCTGAAATGATAAAGACAGAATATTAATTTATCAGTCAGATATTTTACAATCAGTCTGTGTCTTAAATTCTTACCTGTGTGTTTCAGGTTGTTGTTCTTTCTCTTCTAACTCTTTCTGCTGACGGTGAGTTCAGTTTTTCTGTTGTTCCAGTAGGATCATCATCTCCTGTAGTTTGCTGCTCTTGTCCTGCAGTTCCTTTCTCAGAGTCTCCAGCTGCTTTTTACTGCTTTCCACCTCTTTCACTGTGACCTCCAGTAGAGTCTCTTTCTCTCTCAGCAGTTTGATCTGATTCTCCAGTTGTGAGTCTTTATCTTTAAGCTGTATCTGAGTCTCTTTGGTCATTTGTTCCAGTTTTTCTTTTGTCTCTCTGAGAAGTCTATCCTTCTCTTCCAGCATCTTTTCCTTCATCTGAAGTGTCTCTGTGTTTATTGTCAGAAGTTTTTCTTCCTCTTGAATTTGTTTTTCTTTCTCCATCAGCTGTACGTTTCTCTCCATTGAAATGCTCTCTTTATCTTTATGAAGTTTGGCTTCTTCTGAGAACTCTGTGGGAAACATTCAAAACCCACCTGAGCACCACATTGATTCATATATATATTCATCATTTCATCATTTGCGGTCTTCATCATAATCAATATGTGAGCAATCCTGTTATTGTAGATAACTTGGTGAAACAGAGCGTTTAGCTAAGCTGAGTTTTGGTTCATTCAGAAAGTCTTTTCTTGAAGCTGATTCATTTTTGGGAAGCTGTTTTTCTGTGTTTTCACAATTTTACTTTTTTTTGCGTGCAAAACTGTCTCTACAATATCTGTCTACCTCATTAAACATATTTACAGTATAGGAAGTTCTTAACCCACTGAAACCCCTCCAGACTTTCCCTTCAGTCTTACACTTAAGAATAACTCAGTTTGCATTGAATTCTATGTAGTTTGTGATAATAAGCGTTGTGATGAGACACATCTGGAAATTTAGTGGAAAGTGAGCAATCAGATGCTTTTAATCAGACATGACAAGCACAATGACCCAAAATGACTGAAAGAAGATCCACAAAGTCCAAAACCATCACATCCTTTACAGTCTGTCTTTACCAGAACAGCACGATGACAAGAATCTCTAAAACTGTAGCAGAGAGATCTGAATGATTTATATGAAAACCAGTTAATCACAGTGAATAAGAGAGGAAATAGTCTAATAACTCTGCATTCTATAATTATTAATAAGTGATCTTTTTCATTATGATTAAAAACCTGAGATGTTTTTTTTTTATCTGTCCACATTATAAAATGAAAATTGAGCACACTTAGCTGTCATTGTGTTTTCCTGTTTATCTCTTTTAGAACTCACCGGTCAGCAGAACAGATTCCTTCATTTTCTTTCTCTCCTCTTCTGTCCATTCTCTGTTACTCTGTAGAAGAGAATAAAACAGACTGAAGATGTGATGATGGTTGGTGTCAGTATGAATCACTGAGAGACGATATTACTAACAGTAGAGACTCTGCTGATTGTAGCTGACTGAACTATTTAAACTCAGGTGGACGAAGTGATTAAAGCAGAGAGTTACAGCAGGATTTTATAACAGGAATAATTCTTGCTGCACATTTGACAGAAGTTAATGAAGTTTATTAATAAGTGTTCTCACCTGCCAGACACAGAAATATGGTTTATCCTGGAGAGGAGAAACTAATTAGTAAGTAATTTTGTCATTTAAACTCTTTACAGACTGTAGAAGTGAATAAAACAGCTTGAACATTTCATTCTTCAGGTCATGCATTTCATGTTTCAATAAACTGACAAATAAATTATTAAAATATTTAGCAAATAAATACATTTGCTTATCATGCTGGTCAGATTGTACTGATATTAACTACTGTTCACTTCTTAAGGTCATAGGTAAAACAGTCACTAATACAGAGTCAATCACAACTGTGGTTAGTATATGAATGCATTGGTGTTCATGTTATCTTATGTCGCATATTTCAGAAAAAAGTTGTGTTACTGTATGAGTCAGAGAGAGTGAGAGTGATCTGTCCTCTTAAAAAGCCCCTCCAGTCACTTTAAGTTTCACTACTGTATCTACTAAATTGTGCACAGAGGCAGTGAGGGTCAGGAGTTTGGATAGTACTCAGATGGGCTCATTACTGACAGATCAGTAATGGAGGAGAGGAAAACTACAGTAATGAGAGACACTCTAATGATAATGATGTACTGATGATGAACGACTCAAATATCCATCATCACATAAGAACAGTGACATCACTCCCAACAGAGCCAGACTGCTTTATTTGTTGTGTCTTTTTCTCATCAGTGAACTTCACTGTCTCTACATTTCTGCAGTGCAGTGGGATTATGCACAGGAGCATTGTGGGAAGGAAGGAGAGAGATGAAGACAAAAGCTTTCATTCTGAGATCAGAGACTTTGTTCATGTGATAAGAATGTAGTTCATGTGATAAGAGTATAAAAATCAGCAGAGAAATAAGTAAACAGAGTTATTTACTTACCCATGATGCTGTGAAATAAAACAGAAGAAACACAAAGTTAGTCAAATCTCCATGGAGAAACACTTTACAGTTATAATATTTCAGTCTTTTTAACTCTTTATCTCCTTATCAGAATCTCCTTTTCTCATCTGTACTGTAGTTCTTCATCCTTCACTACTGAACTGTCACTCAGTGCTTTCAGTACAACTCCATGAAGACGTTCAGCTAAACAGTTAAGTGTGAACCTACAGCAGAAACTCAACCCTTATAGAAATTATTCTGTTTAATCTATTTAATTTAAATAGATTAAAGTAAGATTTGAATGAGTTTCTCTCTGATTTGGCTCACCTTCCTCTATCATTAACATCCTGCACTGACTGCACTGGAGACACTGTTTATATCACAGTAAGAAATTCTGAACATAATAGACCCCCAACAACAAGACATCAAGTATGTCAGCCCTCAAAAAGAACACAGACTTTCTGGCGCGTCATAAAGATGAATCTGTACATTTAGTGTTTTCTATTTACTGTTTTACTGTTTTATATTGTGTGTATAATTAAAAAGCTCATGTTCAAATATTAATAAACAATGAAGGAGTCACAGCACATGTCATGTTTTAATTAATAATTAATCATTAAATTATTGCATTAATCAGACATAACTGTCCTTCTTGAGGAAAAAAGAGAAATAAGTTCTCATACTAGAAACGGATTTTAAGTTATGAAGACCATTTTGATCCATGTTAGGTCTACAGCTTAAAAAAAGAGAGAAATTGTATAGAAATTAATAATTCATATCTCTGATAGAAATGAAGGAAGCTAAAAAATCATTTTAAATAATGTAGTAATATGAAACTAGTTGATTTAAAGTGAAATATTATTCTCAGTGTTGCATTTATGCACTGTAAAAATAGTTTGTCAGTTCAGCCTAAAAACAAAATACTTCATACTTTTCCTGCTTTAATTCAACTCTGATAAATATTGAATGAAACATTAAATATTAAATAATATTCACAGATGAACAAAAGCAATATTTATAATTCAAACTCAACACACTTCAAATCAACTTTTACACTGTTTGACATTTCAGTGATTCTGTAAGAAGAACTCAACATTTAAGGTGATTTAGAACTGAACTAAACTGATTTAGAGTTAAACTAAACTTTGATTGATTTCAATAATAAATTAAACTTTTTGCTTGAATGCTTTTCATGAAAATCCATGATGTGATGATTAAAATGGTTTTTAAATATTACAAAAATATTGTGCTGATATTAATAAACTTTAAAATATGAATGATAAAATTAATTATTATAAGTAATGGTTAAAATGATAATAAGTGTTTAATAAAATGCACTTTCTTTAAAATTGAAATATTTCCCAGACTTCTGTATTTTATTACTTTTATTTTATGGACAAGATTTCCTATTAATTTATATGATAATTTATACTTTAAATTATATTTAATTTACAATTCATTATTTACTTTAACAAATTTTGATTTGTTTGTATTTTACACATGAAGACATGAATTTCAGCTTGAAATATTGTAGTTACAACAAATGGTCAGACATGGGTCCTGGTAGGAGTGGACATCATACAGGACAAAAGAATATACATAAGCATATAAGCATGTACAAAACATTCACTGGTCCCTCTGGGTACTGTGGTAACTACCAAGACACCTCTCCCTTTTAGCTAAGCAATACCTCATATGAACTTTTATTCTGTGTATATGTTCTTAACTGTTATGACTTTTCTAACTCAAAATATCTTTCCTGGGGGAACGCGTACATTTTTATTGTTTTCCTCACTGAATGAAACAGGAATAATGTACAGATATCATTCTGTTTAGAAGTACAGTCTACTAGAAAGTCTTTCAGAGGAAATGATAAATCCAGTAGGACAGAGACGCTGTTTCTCCTAAGTGTCCCTCTCCCTGTCTCTACCAATTAAGATCTTGGTGTATGAGCTGGTCCTATGACAGAGCCATACATGTGCTTCCAAGGATGAGAACTATTGTAGCCTTTGTAGTTAATTGCCTGGCACTCTCACCCCTCTTAATCGCTTTTCTGGAACTCCAACAGGCTAGGCCACTCAAGGGTCAGCTCTCCAGGGATTTGGGGTAATGTAGTGTAAAAGAATTTCCCCCTTGAGCAGCTGGGAGAGAGAGAAGCCCTGCTCCAAAGGTGTGGCTCTATAAACCGGAAAAGCTTTGTTCTAGTCTTTGTAAAGTGTTCTTAGCCCATAGTCGTTTTATGCTCCAGACGACACACTCTGCTTCCTCTTTTGCTTGAGGATGCAGGCTGCTTTTGGTGTGTATAACGTTTTGCAAACTGTTGGAAGGTCTCTGACACAAACTGAAGTCCATTATTAGAGACAACCTCCTCAGGGATGCCATGACATGCAAAGGTGTCCTTGATCGCCCATAGTGTTACCTCTGAAGATGTGAGATGTGCCACCTGAAGCTATGTGGAGAAATAATCAATAATGTGCAAGTAGGTTTTCTTTTTGCATTCTAACAAATCCAGACCTACTTAATGCCATGGACACACTGAAACTGAGGTAGGCAGTAGCAGCTCACAGTGGGGCACTCAATATTGTTTGCAGCATAACAGCTTTCAGCCATCTGATGAATTTGAGATGAAAGGCCCAGCCACCTACAGAATGATGAGCATTTAGAAATGCCTGGTGGCCCTCACGTGTCTGAGATGGATTTCTTTCTGCACAGGAGCTAGAATCGAAAAGTCTCCTTTTAGAAGAAGCTCTAACTTACAAAAAGGGCATGAGTTCTTTGTGAATAGAATGTTTCTCTGGCCAGCTAGATAAACAATGGTGTTTCATTGCTTAGTAGGTTTCATCTGCCGCTTGGGCCTCTTGTATCTGTTTGAAGTGGGCCTCTGTCACTGACAGAGATGACACAATTGTCTGTATGTGTCAGATTCCACTGTGTGGCACAGGAAACAGTAAGTCAGCACTGTTAGATGGTGATAGCCCCCAGATGGAGGATTTCGGCTTTACGTGGGCTTCGTGTTAAGGTCTGTGTGGGTGGGCCGGCGCTTACTAACGCGATTACTCCAAGTTGCAAGAAGTGAGTTTATTGAGCGACAGACATAAACAAATAAACAAAACACTGTACAAACGGAAATAAAACACAATATATACACTATTTACAAATGGGGTTGAGTACCAGCTGTGGGGCTGGAACTCCATACACATCTACAAACACACTGACTCTTAACTACACGGGCGGCTAGTAGTGAGTACAGGTGAGACCCCTCTGAACAGCTGGCCCGGAGCTCTTGTATTCTAAGCTCCGCCCCGGCCTACACCAAACCCAATCGCGGGGTACATAACTAATACACACACACACACACACACAACACGTACTGTACAGCAACATACACCTGGTGGCAACCCATGATATTAGCGGTAAATATATACAAATATTAAATAGAAAAATCACAATTCCTCTAACATCTTTCCTTTCCTTTACAGGACCTGCATGAGAGTGGACCCCCCCTCCCTACGTCGGTGGATCCGCCTGACTAGGATAAGAGGAGCCACAGCTCTCGCCGACATCCCCTAAAGGACGCACATCAAAAGAATTCAGGTAAGTAACCTTTTACATTACTTAAATGTCCATAACTCTAATGGTTACACTTCCAGTCTCTAGCCTGCATCAGGGCTTGTGATGGTGTGTGAAACTCACCGCATCACAAGCACTTATAAGGTTTTTCACTTTCTCACTTTGTTTTGTCTGCTCAAGACCATTCACTGTGGCTCTGTGTCCAACAAAAGGCACTCTTGCCAAATTCACACAGACTGAATCTTCTTCAACGCACAACGTGGATGCTGGTCATGCTCCATTTTGTCCTGCCCAAAGACAAGAATTTCATCACGGCAGATCATTCATTGAAACTCTCTAACAGCTGGGACATCCACCATTTGAAGTATCTTGTTCAGGTTTTTCATATCCACACATATCAGAATCAGAATCACTTTATTTCACCAAGCATTTGTCTTGTTGAGTGCACACATGTATGACATGTAACATACTAAACAGCACACAAACTATTAACAAGTAAGGAAAAAAATTAAATACAATAAATAGGAGAAAGAATAAAGAATAAAAAGAGCCATTTCAAAGGAACTAAAGAGATGTGTGGATATCTGTGCATGATCATGAGACATGAATGTCTGTACATATGCAGGTCTGAGTAGACCTGAGTAGACTATAAATATATTATAAAAACTATTATTTACAAATATTACAGAATATGAATGTTTTTTACAATTTATTTGTAAAAATAAATTGTAAAAACATTGGACAGTTGTCCAAATAAACATCATGTTACAGAGGAGTTACTGTAATACAGACAGGGAGGTTTGTTTGGTTTAGTTTAAGTTTAAAGTGCTAGGTGTCTACTGTAGATAATGAGTCCTACAGCTCTGGGGAAAAAGCTGTTATTATGTCTGGTTGTGCTGGTTTAGATGGCCCTGAATCTTCTAGCAGAGGGAAGTGGCTGGAAGACGTGATGTCCAGGATGAGAGGGGTCAGCTGTAATTTTGCCCGTGCACTTCATCACCTGCTGTTGTAGATGTCCTGAAATGTTGGCAGACGACATTCAATGATCCTCATCTCTGTCCTAATTATGTGCTGGAGTTTGACACGTTCTTGTGAGGTGGAAGAACCAAACCAAATGGTTGTGGATGATGTGGGATCAGACTCAATGGTCGTTGTGTAGATATGGATCAGCTGACTTTGGTGCAGGTTAACTTTCTTCAGCAATCTCAGAATGAACATTCTCTGCTGTGATCTCTTGGCTATGGAGACAGCATTCCTCTCCCACTTCAGGTCCCTGGATATGGTGGTGCCCAGGAACTTGAGTGACTCCACGGTGGAAACCACAGAGCCATTGCTGTTGTGGGTGTTAATGTTGCTTGTTAAGCAGTACATGTCTGATGTGTGTTTTCCTAGCCATGCCTGCTGTCTCCAGTTTGTCAGGAATCCACAATCCACCAGCAGATGGGATCTTGCACAGACAGCTCAGACAGAGAACTCTAGTGTAGGTTCTAGAGCCCATATACAGAAACTTCTTAACACTGAAATCTTATCTTATCTGTTTAGTCACCATGACAACTTCAGTTAGGAATGAATTTAGGACAGTAGCTATTACAGAACAACCATTCTTAAGTTCATAATATTATCCTAACTTCAGATAAAAAACAGAATGACAGAAACATAATGACGTTACATTTATTTACATTGAAAACGGTGGTTTGACTGAATTTTAAAATCCCAGACACTGCACACACGACCACACTTATTACCTTTGTGTGTTAACGTTGATGAAAACTCGTTAGATAAAATAATACAACAATGTCAGTGAATAATGAGACACAGCTGAACATGATGATGTTTCTTAGGAGGAAAAACATTAGCACGGTCAGCTAAAACTGAAACATGAAACCGGGAAGCGGAGATGCTCTGATAAACAGAACAAAACACTGTCATAATATTGTAAACTTCAATTTTTTTACATCAGTAACAGCAGCTAGCTGTCTGGCTAACTAACTTGATTATTTTGATATGTTTCAGCTGTGTCATGTGTGGTCAGTTGCTAGGTAACAGACATGATGGTTAATTGTCGACTTTGATTGAGTAGATTAAAATTTCCCAACTTGAGATAAGATGCTGTAAGAAAAGATAACATTCATAAATGAATATATGATTTGCTTCTGTAATACAAATTTCTGAAAAATGTTATCTTCACCTATCAAATCTTAAGTTAAGACAAAAAGATAGGAAGTTTCTGTAATATGGCCCAAGATCTGTCGAGATGCTGTAGTATGAATTGCAGGGGCAAGTTGACTGTGTCGTCAACAGATGTGTTAGCTCTGTAGATTTGTAACATCCTTAGGGTGGGCTAGGACCAGGCATTCAAAGACTTTCATGACTACAGGGGTTTGGCCTACTGGCCTCTAGTCATTTTGGCTGATCCAAGACAGAGCAAAGGTGAGTCAGAAATGAGTAGCAGAGCTGTTTGCAGTGGAGCTGATCCAATATGGAGCAGAGTTTAGTCAGACATGAGTCACAGAGCTGGTTGCACTGGAGCTGATCTGAGACAGGGCTGATCCAATATGAAGCAGAGTTGAGACAGAAATAAGTTGCAGAGCCGAGACACATCAGAGCTGAACCAGAAGGAGTTGAACTTGAGATGGAGCCAGAATGGGAGCCATGAAGAGCCAGAAAGGAGCTGCAGAGCTGGGTTGCAGGAGCTGATTCGAGATGGAGCCTAGTTGAGATGGAGCTGAGATTGGATGGAGGCTTGAGGTAGAGGGATCTAAGGGGTGGAAGGGGGGTTGCAGGATGAAAGGGGTGAGAGGATGAGAGAGAGAGAGAGAGAGAGAGGCTGGAATAATGAGGGAAGTGGAGGGATGATAAGGGAGGGGAAGGATGATAAAGGGAAAGGTGTTGGATGATAAAGGGAGGAGGTTGGATGAGAAAGGGAAGGGGAGAGATGATAAAGAGAAGGGTAGGGTTGAAAATGGGTGGAAGTGGGATGAGAAAGAAAAAAAAAAACAAACATACACAGCAGAATAAAACTAGCGCAGTAGGTAGGAAGCAGAGAAACTGACACATGAACAGTGTGGTTGTCATGTGGTCTGTGCAGCCACGCAAACTGAAGGTAAAACAATGGCAGCAAAGAGCAGGTGTGTTTACCTCCGCCCGAAGCCGAGACAGAGTCGAATACATCAGCATGGGAGATGCGATTCGTATGTCAGGGCGCACTGGCGCATCGTTGCGGTCCAGAGAAGGGTGCAGTTTGGACGACGTTTGTGAAGGGCAAGGGCAGGAGCAGAGGAATGTGAGCTGTCGAGGCTTAAAGCACTGCAGCCCTGTTGGAGCTGGCAGAATTTTAAAAGAGACTGCGCGTGGCCAGGGAAATTGAGATCCTAGACCGAAAGCTCGCTAGCCAGAGCAGCAGGTATGATGAAAATGGATTTCAATTGGATGTGGACTGGACTGTAACTGCAGAAGGAGCAGGCAGACGGCCGAGGGGTATTTAGGAGAGAGAACCGAGGTCTGTACCAGAGTGGCTCATAGCTGCACTAGCATCACACAACTGATTGCGAACACTTTGTCACGGGAATGGAAGGTGAGGATGTGAATTTATGGAGTGTTAGATTGGAAGATTGGGATTCACAAAGTAGCAGTCAAAATTATCTGTCATATTAGGGCAACAAGCCGAGCATGTAATCGCAGATGCAACCTCTTAAAACAGCCTATAACATACCACGGTTCTGAAAAGCGCCCCAATGCAACGCCTATTAAGGTTCATTTTCAGTTAAAATGCTGCCGAACAAAAGAACTACTTTTGAAGGCAGTGACTAATTAGGCAGCTGCCTCCAGAAAGGAATGCAACCACTGTTTATTCTACTGAAATGCTCCATCTGTCCTTCACTCCACATTAACATCATTTATCCTCTGTATGTTTTACCTCCTTTATCTGAACACAACACCATTCTGAACATCTGTGTTTCTCATTTCTGTCTTTTCGTCTTTTATTCTGAGACGCTGAGGATGATGATGAGTTTATGTAGAGTGAATTTCTGGAATACTTACACACTCTTACTGCACACTCCTCTGTTGTGTCTCCATTGCTGACCTGACACAGATAATCTCCTTCATCTGACCATCTGAAGTCTCTGATCTGTAAGGAGACATTTCCTCTCTGCAGCTCCTGAGTGAACAGACTCACTCTGCCCTCGTAGCCCCTCCCCTCTGTCACCTGCATGTTCTTATAGAGACAAACACAGTCCGTCTCCATAAACCACCTGATCTCCATGGCAACAGCACTGATTTCAGGTGACAGGTGACAGGAGAGAGTGACCGCAGAGCCAGGCTCATGGCGTTCTTCTCTGTTATAGGGTCCAAAGAGTATGAACTCTGTGTAGAAACACACACACACACACACACACACACACACACACACACACACACACTAATAGTTGTGTCTCGTGTGTCTCCACAATAAAAATAAACTCTCTGATTGAATATTATTTAATGATGTTCACAGTAAAACCTTTTGTAGGTTCTGGAAGTTTAACTTACTGTTTCTTGCAGCCGCCATTTTTATCTCTTTATCTCCTCCTACAGATTCACACTAATACAATCCTACAGAGAGAGAGAGAGAGAGAGAGAGAGAGAGAGAGAGAGAGAGAGAGAGAGAGAAATTAACAAAACTACATCACCCATTGGAATACAGACACAAGCACAAAGCGACATGCAGGGCTCTCTGACCCTAACACAACTGAACACTGTAGTGGAGTACCTGAGCATAGTGACTGATATTAAAATACAGAATCACAATGATAAAGTACAAACTCAGTGAACAAATGTGAACAATTTAAGCATTTATGCAAAATTAATTTTATAAACATTTGAGAAGATTCTCCCTTAATTAAACCATTTCTCTAATAAAGACAAAGTGCCCATCCTGTTTAGGAGAAAAGATAGAAAGCAGCACAATACACACAGGACAATACACACTCCCTAAGCACTTTATCAGGTACACCTACCATTTTTTTCAGTCCCACTTACCACATAGGTGCGCTTTGTAGTTGTACAACTACAGACTGTAGTTCATCTGTTTCTCTAAATAATTTGTTATCCCATAGTTACCCTGTTCTTTAGTGCCACAGGACCCTCACAGAGCAGGTACTATTTGGGTGGTGGATCATTCTCAGCATTCCAGTAACACTGATGTGGTGGTGGTGTGTTAGTTTGTTGTGCTGGTCTGAGTGGATCAGACACAGCAGTGCTGCTGGAGTTTTAAAACACTGTGTCCACTCACTGTCCACTCTATTAGACACTCCTACCTTGTCAGTCCACCTTGTAGATGTAAAGTCAGAGACGATAGCTCATCTGCTGCTGCACAGTCTGTGTTGGTCATCCTCTAGTCCTTCATCAGTGGTCACAGGACACTGTTGGCTGGATGTTTTTGGTTGGTGGGCTAATTTCAGTCCAGCAGTGACACTGTGGTGTTTAAAAACTCCAGCAGCTCTGCAGCAACATACACTAACACACCACCACCACATCAGTGTCACTGCAGTGCTGAGAATGATCCACCACCCAAATAGTACCAGCTCTTTGGTTGTCCTGTGGGGTCCTGACCATTGAACAACAGGGTGAAAGGGGGATAACAAAGTATGCAGAGAAACAGATGGACTACAGTCTGTAATTGTAGAACTACAAAGTTCACCTGTGTGGTAAGTGGAGCTGAAAAAATGATGTTTCTTATAAAGTGTTTAGGGAGTGTATATCTGCCTGCCACAATACGAGAGACAGTGAGTGATCACATTATCATCAACATCACATTATCATTAGTAGTAGTAGTAGTAGCAGTAGTAGTAGTAGTAGTTTATTTATTTATTTATTTTATTTTTTTTACAACTGCCAACCAGCATTTTTAGTACTGAGTTCTCTTTAATAAAACTTATCAGTGTTATTTCAACTCCACTCTGTTTGGATCAAACCGAAAACATTCTTGTTTGAATGCAAAATACATTCAGTGACCACAGATTCACAAATTCTTTAATTCTCTTCTTATTCAGTCTCAGCCCTTAACAAAACTGTATCTTTCTAGAGCTCTTTTTTTTCAAATGCTTGCAAACACTGTCATACTTATCTCCAGAATCCAACCTGAAATAAACTGCATTTAATTTACTCAATCACAAATGCTATAATCAGACAACAATGAAAGCCCAAAAATGGTATTGATTATAAAGACAAACTGCTGATTGTGTGTAGAAGTGCCAATCACAGCTGAGCTGGAATTCCCATTTGAGCTGAAGTCCTACCTAGATGAAGACCATCTATAAAATGGGGTCACTTCTGGATTTATTGTGCTCACAATAGATAGTCCTTTACAGGACCCGCACATAGAGGACATTAGGTGTGATGTGGATGAAAACTACACAGCAAACGACTCGTTAATACTTCAGAGAGATTTAAATAAAACAGTGGATCTGCCTTAATGCCAACAGATCTTACTGTTTCTGAGGTGATTGTGCTGTGATTGATAAAGTATTGTTGTTAGAGCACTAGTGTTGATGTTTTGATTGAATGAATTTACTTTGAGATGTCTTTGGAGTGTTTTTATAGCTGTAGAGTATGTTGGGCATGAAATGAACTGTTTAGCTGAGCTTCATGTTTCAGGAGAGAGAGACATGAATTGTTTTTGAAAAAGGCTGTAATGTTTTTTCTCATTCTCATTGTTCGGTCTTGTTTGTGCTTTGGCAATACTGTAACTTGATATGGTCCTCCTAGTAAAGCTTACTGAATTGAATAAAGAGAGAGAAAGAAAGACAGACCGAGAGACAGATTATTCAGAAACAGTGTTAATCAAACTCACCATATTAGAAAACTATAATTAATACTATAAACAATTTACCATACTTTTCACATTTGACTATAAAGTGAGTAGCTATGTGATATACGGTTAATAACATGTATGTTACATTATGACACACAAAAAAGTCCAGTACAACTTAGAACTTCAGTGTTTGCAAAGAAGCCGTTAGCTGAGATTCTCTTTAGAGTCTGTCTGTATTGATTATCACAGAATAGAGACGCTCGCGGATGAACGAAGACAAGCAGGCTTTAATGATGAAGTCAAAATCCAAAATTGTTGTCAACAACAGGCAAAAGGTCAAAACACCAAAAACAGAGATCCAGGGCAAACAATCCAATGGGCAAATCAAAAATCTGAGTCAGATAAACGAGAATGCAAGTCATACACGGTAACATAATAGAAAGAACGCTCAGTAGTTTGCAGATGAAACAATACCTCGCAACCAACTACTGCTAAAGCCTGGGCTTAAAAGCTAAACTGATGGGGTCATGTGATCATAGATACAGGTGCGTGCAGCACATTAAAACTTGAACTTGAAGGCGATCTTGAATGCTGATAGGAGCGTGTGTGGAGACCATCAACCAGCTGATCTCCCATTGTATTCTGGGAGATGAAGTCCATGTGTGTATCAGGGTTTGTAGGAAGTGATAAAGTCACATGATCTCCCAGAGGATTCTGGGAGATCAAGTCCGTTGCCTCGCTAGTGACATTCGTGCCACTGTCTAAGAAGCATGTCTGCTATACACCATGCACTGATTTTAATATAGTTAATAAACAAGCATTTATAGTTTAAGGATTTATTGTTTTTATTTTACTTGCTAAGTATTCTAAAACTATTCTCCTAAAATTATAAAAAGTAACTGTATTCTGAATTCTTCTCAAAATGTAACATAGACTGAATACAGATACTTAATTTCTGTATTCTGTATAGTTTTCCACTACATCCCATCCCTGTCTGCAGATATAAGGAGATCCAGCGTAACCAGAATAATGAAAAAAATCAGCACACACAGTACGATTTGCTGTCGCTCCTATAGACCAAGGGAATTTTTATAGTAACTGAAATATGAATAAACACATCATGATTAGGATGGAGATTTACAATGTTTAATTTAACACTCCACCACTATGATTCAATTTTAGTCATTTTTGGTGATTTTATTTGTAGTGTTTCATTATTATTTTCAAACTTGAATTCACAGAAATCATTTATGAGCCCAAAGGTGATGTTTATGTTTAGACTGAGTGGAAATAGTATAATTGTGTAATTATTGTGTGAGTCGTTAATGTTACAGTGACTTATTTCATTTCAACGATGCAGTGCTGTATAGGCAGTAGTAGATGGCGGGGAGGTCCTTGGCAGCCTGGAGCCCTGCCAGAAACTGGCTCTTGGCACATGGAGTGTAACCTCGCTCGGAAGAAGGAGCCGGAGATTGTGCGGGAGGTAGAGAGGTTCTAAATATATATACTTGGGCTCACTTCCACTCACAGTGTCGGCTCTGGAACCAAACTCCTTGATAGGGGGTTGGTCCCTCTCGTACTCAGGAGTTGCACAGGATGAGAGGTGCAGGCAGGTGTGGGGATACTCACAAGCCCCCGGCTGGCTGCCGTACAGTTGGAGTTTGTCCTAGTGGATGAGAGGGTCACCTCAATGTGAATTAAAATCACAGGGTGGAAAACTCTGACTGTTGTATATGCTTATGCCCCAAACAGCAGTTCGGAGTATTTGGCCTGGTACCCCTGTGTTAGTCATGGATTGTCCATAATGAACACCAAGTTTGAACACAAGGACATTCATAAGTGTACTTGGTACCAGAGCTTCCTGGGTCAAAGGTCAGTGATCAACTTTGTTTTCATTTCTTCTGAATTGGGACCATATGTTCTGGAGACTCAGGTGAAAAGAGGTGCTGAGGTGTCAACAGATCACCATCTGGTAATGAGTTGGATCAGATGGCAGGGAAGACTAGTGCTCAGACCTGGTAGGCCCAAGGGAATAGTGAGGGTGTGGGGGGAACGACTGGCAGAGGCCCCTGTCTAGAACGATTTCAACTCCTACCTCCAGGAGAACTTCTCATGTTAGGGGACATGGAGTCTGTATGGACCCTGTTCAAAACCTACATTGTGAAAGCTGCCAGGCGTGGCTGTGGCCAAAAGCTTGTTGGTGCTTGTCAGGATGGCAACCCATGAGACCCCTGGTGGACACCAGTGTTGAGGGAGGCTGTCAAGATGAAGAAGCCTTGAGGGACTGGTTGGCCCAGAGGACTCCTGACTCAGCAGATAAGTACTGACAGACACAAAAAGCAGCAGCAGCAGTGGTGGCTCAAACAAAATCCAAAACATAGGAAAAAGTTTGGAGAGGCCATAACAAGGTTCTGGACAACTGTCTGGCTACTCAGGAGCAGTTGCAGTGGCTTCACTCTCTAAATTATCACTAAAAAGTTTAAAAAAATTACAAATCAACAGTTTCATGTACATTTTATCTACAGTGTAGATTATAAATCATCTTTAATAATTATTCAGCTCTCCTGCTCTCCTCTCTATCACTCCAGGCTGTCTCTCCTCTTCTCTGTGTGATTCTCCCTGAACAGCTGATATCTGATTATCTCACTCAGCTGCTTTCCAGACTGCACTTTGATCAAACTGAACAAGCTCAGGCATCAGCCGCTGTTTCCAGCCAGAGGCTGCATGAAGCTCTACATGCTCCATGTAGTGCAGCAGCGACTGGAGCTGCTCACAGAACCTCCATTTCTAACGTGCTGCTCCACATTCAC